ATAATATAGATATAGATATAGATATATATATATATATATGTATAGACAGACATAAATAAATAGATAGAGGAAGTATGTATGTATGTATGTATGTAAGTATGTATATCTGTATGTATGTATGTATGCATATATATATATATATATATATATATATATGTGTGTGTGTGTGTGTGTGTAAATATTATACATTTACATAAATATATATGTTATATTGGTGTGCATTTTTCCGGTTTAACTGATCTGTGTTGTGACGATAACTGGCCTTGATCCTTTATCTATTTTATCCTGCCATCCGTCTGTAGACACAGGCAACCTGGGCATGTTTGAAATTTTATGAAACGAGTGTAGGTTGTGTCTTTCTTTTATACTGTGATATCTCAAATTTCCTTCGTTTTGTTCCGGTCCTTGGTCATCTAGATGCGCGTAATCTGGGTATGTCCATGAAAGTCAAGCGATCGACCGCAGGGGAAGTGAGAGACATGTTTGCGCAGATTAAGAAACGGAAACTGGAGGCTGCACGAGCGGATGAATTTGGTATGTGTGTGGTGTTATGGTCGTGTATTGTTTGCCGGCCTTTATGTGTCGTTACGCCCTCCATGGGACTGTTTCGGGAGTTTTCGTTCAGTGTGTGCTGGATGATAAATATACGGGATGGAAACACTGCAGGCGCATACACTTGGTCATCTATTAAATTCTAGGCTTTGGGCGAAAACGGGGCGCTTTCTAGTATACTCACCCTGTGAGGCATATGTTTTACGGCTCATGTTTGTATGGATGGGGTACGCGCCAAGAACTGCTTATATGTGTGGAATAGGGTGCATTAGATATTAATATAGTTTACGTAAGTTGGCGTAGTGTTTGTTGCGTTTTACTGTCGAATCGTTATCTGCCTTTGTGTGTTAATATTGTATATGTTTGTCTATGTGGCTATATGTCGATGCCGCTTTCGAAGTGGAGTTCCACTGCCATTTAATGACGTTAACTCTCGCCTCAATGGGATCGGGGAGAACTTGTCCAACTACGATCTCACATTCACATCACCGGAACGTACAACTATCCAGAGATACCTATGTGCCATTGCACCATTGCAGCAACTGGGCTCGCAATGTACACTTCAGTTTCATAAACAACGTTTGTATGGAAACTAAATGCATCAGCCGTTTCACTTGCTGCAATCGAACATATCGGACCATTCACCCATCCGTTTCCCTCACATTTTGGCAGACTTTGAGAAGCGAGTGGCTTACGCCAAAGCCGAGGAAGAAAAGATCAAACGCCAACGCCGCAACAGAGAAAAGGTATACTCGCATTGAGTACGTGTATTCTGTCGTCACAATGCGTATATTTGTCGCGTCTTTGAATAGGCGTGTGATCCGTTCCAAAGGATGTCAAGGCGAATGAGTGCGTGGTTAAAAGGTGTTGTTGAAAGGCGGCACAAATGGTGCATCTACCGACGAATAGATTATGTATCGTTGTTGGGCCAAAGTTTATCAGCAACCATTATTCCGATCTATTGGATTCGCGTTTGTGTAGTTCTCTATACTTATGTTTAGGTTATTGAATGCATTGGAAAGTTTATTTCGAACAAGCGAGGGCGAACCGCGTGGAAAATTCAGCTATCCTAGTGACTGAGTATTGTGTTTCCTTATTTTGAGATGAATGTATGTGATAGATCTGGATGACTGTATCAGAACCACTTCTCATCTTTTGTTCCATGCATGAATGGTGTGAAGCAACCCATCAGGGAACGAGTAAGGGATTGCTAACCAACACTGACTTCACATACCAACACACACCATCAGCAAAAGAAAGAGGAGAAGAAGAAGGAGGCTGAGTCCAGTCTGCCGCAATCAACACTGACCAGCGAAGAGCTCATGATGCAGAAAATGATGGGCTTTGGTAGTTTCGAGACGTCTAAGACTTAAGCAATATGTTTATGATACACAATGCCCGGACAACCAAGATGCATACAATCCACAATTCTCGGGAAAAAACATTCATCAACCGTGCTCCGCTCAGTGTGACATTCGTGGTGTGAGCTGGTCCAAACGCTTCATGCACTCGGAAACATACGTTTGCCAGCTAATGGCAGGGATTAGTCTCGTAAGTGCTGTTGATGAGCAACTATGACAACCGTCGCATCACTCGTGACGAACATAGTAGCGCTGCGCTAACCATGTTGAATTTAATCGATTACGATAGCGTTCAATAGTTCTGTGAGACTTCTTGTACCGTTCAATGTTAGTCAGTGCTTGGTTGCGCATGTGCATCATTCGCCCCCGATGGCAGGCATACGGTGCTAGCTCAATTGCACACATTCCTGAGCAGCGAACAACGAGTCAAACAACTTTGGAAGACACATCACTTGCTGAACACCCCGATAATTCTTATGTAGTGGGTAAAGATAAACGCTTCCTCATCGTGCTCGGAGATGCGTGTTGGATAAAACAGCGTGGTTGCAGCGTACAACCTCAGTAGTTGGTGACATAGCACTCATGTTCGACGGTGACTGTGTGTCACCGGTGTCTGTAGCACCGCCGCCGCGTTGGGAGTATTGTCCCAGATAAGTTCTGTCAACAGATATAGTAATTATCCGTGTATTCACTTGGTATATCCATAAACGGCACCTAGCTTTCGCAAATTTATGTGACTATTTATCGAACCATACGATGAGATTCGTCGAAGGACATTCAAAATATGCAAAAAAAAGTATGGGAAGGTAGGATGATCAAACTTATTCTGAGGCCCGTGCGTCCTTGTATGCGGCACGCGTGCATGAGTAGTTGTGTGCGATAGACTTCATATAAACCGTAACATATTATCAAGTTGATCTGAACACTTTTTGTTCTCTTATCTACTACATTCTATCCACAATCGTGCTATGGAGTACGAAGGATACCACATACGCTTATTGGGTTCATGTGTATGCATACGAAGAAACGTACATAAAAATACTTGTTTGTGAATATCGGGTACTATTTGTATATTTTAATATCCATTTAGAAGAATACTTTCATAAATGTATCACAGGAAGTAAACCGTGTCGACATTTAGGTACACAAAACTACGTAATAAGAAATGGTATTGTACCTTCCCTTTCATAAATAAATAAACGTACACATATGTATGGGATGCAAAAGGTAAATGTTTAGGAATGGATTCGTGTGTACAAAAACGTAGAGCAGGAAGTATAGCAAGAACATATTCTGATACCACGCGCAATGGAATCTGCAATATGTACGGAAATGACTATGATCATCCATCCTTCAAGCGTGTATCCTTTTTCAAACCTTGTCGCTTATATCAATCATATCTTTTTTATATATCTTATATACATATATATATATATATATATATATATATCCGTATTTACTCTGCGTGTTCGGAAAACAAAGTCAACAAAGTAACTCATTGCATATTTTGGATATATACATATATAGTGCTAGTATGAAAGTGATGAACCACGGGGCTGGAGTGGATGTCAACCGATATTTCTCCTGAGGCAACCCTTCGATTGAAACAACTGTTTGTTGAAGATCAATACACTGAGCATAATGACCATCGTAGACCACAATTTTGTACTGAAAAGTGAGATGTTTGCATATATATAAAATTGATGATTCTGATATCGGTGGTTCTGTCTGTGTGCGGTAAATCTACATTGCTTCCAATTGACGCCGAAAAACTTGACAGTCTAAAAAAGTTGAATCGCCAAAGACGTGCTTCCGGAGATTAGCCGGTATAAATTGAGAGTAAAACCTGTACATGGGATACTTTAGCCTGTGACTCTGTATTCATACACATTTAACCCACAAAAAGCGGCAGCACCCATAATAATCAACAGCACACCCGTGTTGTTCAGCGAGCCTTCGTTGTACGCCATCACAGCCGCCACAACATCAACACCATCCACAATAGCACAGGCAGCCAGGAAGCCTCGCACGGTGCATACTTCTTCTCCCAGAAGCCCAGCTAAACCAGCACCTAGGGCTAGTTCACGCACGCCGAATAGCCTCGTTCTAAGACGATCGGATCCGGTCGTAGGGTGCTCATTGAAGCCAAACAGAGACGATGTGGTCGCCGGACTGGCCACCGCTACAAAGCCAATGCAGAAGCGCGTGTAGCCCAGAGATAATGAGACCAGAGACGTCATTCTTTACGTCTATGCTAGTATCTTTAATAGTCACAGTGAGGTGTAGAGACGTGTATATGCAGTGTGCGTCGTGGTGTGTGTTGTATTTGTATTAATATAGCGCAGGATAGCCTTATAATAGCAATGTTTTTAAATAAATAGCATTTGGACTTACGTGTGCCGTCACTGGCTCACTGCCGAGTGTCGTGTGATTGGAGAACGGCAATAAAATTTCGATTGCTTTTCCCTTCATTGCCCGCGAAAAGTATTTGACTAACAAATTTGGTAACTCTATCAACTTGGTCTTCATTTATATTCAGGCGGTTCCAAACTTAAGTTCCCAGTGAAGATTTGTTTCAGGCGAATAAAATCCAAAAAAAGGGGGAGTGGGCCCAGGCCCCAGGAGGGGCTCTTTCCGCTTTCCTCTTTTTTTATATTTAGTTGGGACTAGACTTGACCACTTTGTTACCATATTTAGGTAAGATAAATAGCGCGCCAAAGCAGGCCTCTTGACGATTGTAACGACAGTACTGCTTTGAACAGTGAATTTGAACTAAAATGCACCAGTGTATCCACTGAGGCTGTTTCCATTGTGCACCTATAGTCCAATTTGAATTATACGGGGTGCGAATTGAAAAGAGCCCACCCAAAAAAAAGGGGGGGGATTCGCCTGAAACAAATCTCCACTAGGAACCGCCATATTTATTTATCATGCAGTGATCAATACAAACCTTTGTACATAGACAGGTCATGTGATGATAACCGGAAAGAGGTCTGAAGGGCATAGATATTATTAAATCTTCATAACCTTCTGTCTCTTTATAGCAGGCTACGTTTTAAATAGCCGTCTAGTAGTGAGCTTAAAATCAAAATACAAAATAGTGTATTTAACAATAATACGCCCTCTATTTTAAATGTACCGTTGGAGACTGCGCTACGGGGCCAACCAGAATAACTATATGAACAAACCGACACGATCAAGCGGGTACTATTTTATTAATAGAACTTAAAATCATGATAATAAAGATCGTGCACTTGATTTTGCAAGATTTGTACCCACATATGTACGCGGCCATATCTCAGTCTTTTATCTCAGTCTTTAATGAAGTTATCGGGGTGATGAATAGCGCATATTGAAGGTCTTATTCTGTACAATGAAGCAACATATTTACCAAAGCTATGAACCAGGTACTTTTGGTTCGACTGTGATTTGGACCCTCGATTCTTCATCTACATGCAACGTTTACAATCAACACGAGATAAAAATCGTTATGTGCTTTTGGTACTGTGCTGAGATTGGGAAAGCCCTTTTCCGCTGAAGGTCAAATTACTGATTCCTAAAAACTTACAGATGCTCGCTTTCTACGTCATACACATGATGGAGAGGCTCTACCGCAACGTGTTGACCTTGTGAGATGGGATGCTCGTCGGTATAAGATGTATGGTGCAAAGAGTCGCTTAAGATATGGATATTTCTTAAAACACGGAAGCCCCTAAGTGAGCTCTCCAATACTGAACAGGCAAAGGTTTCTGCACACAATGGAAGTATAATTAATCAGTGTGTGCAGACTCGCCGTGGAGTAGAACTAAGCGATCTGATGTCTACATCAGTGAAACAATCTGATAAAAAGTTGCGATTCGGCAGATCCAGTATCAAATGCACAAAACAACCCTGAATGCCCCTAGATGCATGTTAGGTTCTACTCTATCATCGAGGATACGTTTAGTGGCGGAATCGGCGTAGTCTAACGAGCATCATCTTGCCCAGCTGCTGTTGAGCTTGGCTATTGGTTTTATGTATCGACCGCCTAAAATCCAATAGCCAACACTCAATCAGCAATAGTAAGAGTATATTCTGATGGACTGTAGCTATACAGTAAACCTATGTAATGAGTCATAGGATAGTGAGGGTGCGATTGGTGATGAGTATACTTGTTTAAGATGTACAGTACTTATTGATAGTATGTATAGAAAGAGGTGAATAACTATAATTACTGAAGAGTAGATAACAGTTTTTTATTGAAGAATATCTTTATAAACAAATTATGTAGTGGGAAGGTACCCTATGTATAGGGGAAGTAAACTAGATGAAATAGTACAAATATATGTACCAGATAAGTATCTTAGGAATTATACCTTTTATGGACGGAATAAAATATAATGAAATGAAGTTTTTAATATAATAATACATTGATAGGTAATGGTTATAATTGCTATCAAACGATAGGGTGGGTACATATTATTATACTTAGGAGAGTAATATAGGTATGTATAATCTATGTTAGAGAGGTGTAGTTTAATCGCCACCTATATTACTTTTACCGGACGAGGGATGTCCATTTTAACAAGAGAGATTCCCAAAGGGAGTGTAGAAGGAGACCCCATCCTCCTTCACAACTAGCGGCCTCTACGATTGTCCCAGAGAGTAGGGGTAGGCCAATCCTATTTTTCATTTTGAGGGACCGTATGGGTACCGGAGGAGGGGTGTAAGAGGGTCTCCCCTTATGGCCCTCCACTATGTAAGGTCCCCAAGAGAGGGACCTACGATCCGAACGGAGGGCTGTAGCATAAGAGCCACCATTCATGATGGATCTACCATACTCCTCTATAATACCTTGCTTGTAATAATATCTCAAAACCCTATTTCTAGTCATTTTATTAGTGCTTAAAGTACTTATCTTCTAGTCTAAAGAGATTTAATTGTAGTTGATTGATTACTAATACTATTTTTAGATTTATCTACCTACCTTCATCCTCTATTTAGGTACCGCAAAGGAGGGTATGTAATAAGCCGGGCCTCCACATTAGACTCTATGTATCAATGTACTCTTAAGCAGTACGCAAATTATAAACGTACTCTCAATAGTACGAGGACCTTAAGTTTCCTAAATGTACTCTTAATAGTACGAGGAACTTAAGTCTCCTTAATGTACTCTTATGTAGAAATACGG